TCATGTGTTTGTTTTTGTTGATGTGTTTATGTGTTTAAAATAAAAATTTATTTTAAAAAAACACTGCTTATTGTCTACCAGCCAAATTTAGTTTCCTGTATGAAAGACGGCTTACATCATATTTCATTGTTATGTGGTTGTTGTTTTTCTTACCGCAGCCTTGACATCGCCTATTGAGTATCAGAGGAACCACAGCGGTCCTGGAAGCAGCAGCAGTAGCAACAACAGCGGCCCTAGCACCTGCACTGGAATCCCCGGCTCCAGCCGTAGCAGGCCTTCCCGGATCCCGCAGCCAGTCCGACACCACTCCCCAGTCCTGGTCTCCTCTGCTACTTCAGCCCAAGCAGAGGCAGACAAGATGTCAGGTACGTCCATTCCCAATTCCTCCCTGCCTCCCCACACCACCACTCTAGAGGCTGGCTTTAGCCAGGCAGGCAGGCATCCATCCAATATACAGCAGAATGGTCCAGAAATAGAGAAGATCCACAAGATGAAAGCCATGGGAAGCCCCCGGAAGACACCCGGAAGTCCTTGCGGCTCGGCAGATTCAGATCAAAGGGAATGCCGTGGGAATTCGGAGGAGAACCGTTCAAGGAGCAACGTAGGATCATTGACACTGGGGAAAGCAACAAGACCGGGAGCCATCTCGCCAATAAACTCTCCTTCTGCAATGACTTTCCCATCTCCTTTTGGGAAGGAAACGTTCGCGCCCGGCAGCCCCCTGCAGAAGGGCTCCTTTTGGAGCTCCATCCCAGCATCCCCCGCCAGCCGCCCAGGCTCCTTCACTTTCCCCGGGGACAGTGACTCCCTCCAGCGCCAGGTCCACCGCCACTCTTCACACAGCAAGGACACAGACCGCATGAGCACTTGTTCCTCGACCAGCGAACAGTCAGTACACTCGACCCAGAGTAACGGGGTAAGAGCCGGAGCACTTCTATCCTGCGAGCTCTTCTTAAAAACAAATCTTCCCATCTCCCCTTCTTGTGCGTGACCATCATATCTCCGTACTAACTTCTGGCTCTCCAGCGCTGTATCGCTGCTCTGCAATAATAATCAGTTACGCTCCAACTTTTTTCTACCCAATTTGGGTAGAAACGTTAATCTGTGTGTGTATACAGAAGACGTAGGTTTTCAGTACGTATACAGATACACAGAGAAACTTTCTAACTCTTCATTCTGCTGGGGAAAAAAAAAAAAAGCCGGGTTCTGCTAGCCTCGTTTCTACTAACTTTGCTCCTCGCTTTCTTTCGTCTAACACAAAGGCACAAATTTAATATGCTGTGCACAGCCACCACAGTGGAGCTCAATTCGTGCAACTTCTGTATTTTCCATGGCAGACTTGTTCAGGGTTTCCTCTTCCTCCAGATACGAGCACAACAGTTATCCTTTCAGTACTGAGGAAGAGTTTGAAGAAAACGATTGCCTTGCTGGTCCAAACTCCAGCCCTTTCTGTTTTCAACAGCAGCCTCTGCGAGATGTATCTGGGAAGCTCACAAACAGGGCTTGAATTCAAGCCTGTTGTTTCTGTTATCTGGCATTCCGATGAACACAGAGGTTTTCTTTGGTTCCACCACAAAACCGCGGTAGACAAAAGCGCGATTGACGAAAGCGCGTACGTGACGTCATCACAGCGCAACGAAAACATTGCGCTGTGATCGGTAAATGTAAAATTAAAAATTGAAATAAAAATACAATTAAAGCAA